CTATAGTCTCGTCTATAGGCTGGACTATAGTCTCGTCTATAGGCTGGACTATAGTCTCGTCTATAGGCTGGACTATAGTCTCGTCTATAGGCTGGACTATAGTCTCGTCTATAGTATGGATTATGGTCTCGTCTATAGTCTTCACTATAATTTTTGCCTATATGCACTATAGTCTGGACTATAGTCTAGACGGTAGTCTCGTCTTTAATGTGGACTATAGTTTTGTCTGTAGTCTGGACTATAGTCTTGTCTGTAGTCTGGACTATAGTCTTGTCTATAGTCTCGTCTATAGTCTCGTCTATAGTCTGGACTATAGTCTCGTCTATAGTCTGGACTATAGTCTCGTCTATAGTCTGGACTATAGTCTCGTCTATAGTCTGGACTATAGTCTCGTCTATAGTCTGGACTATAGTCTCGTCTATAGTCTGGACTATAGTCTTGTCTATAGTCTGGACTATAGTCTTGTCTATAGTCTGGACTATAGTCTCGTCTATAGTCTGGACTATAGTCTTGTCTATAGTCTTGTCTATAGTCTGGACTATAGTCTCGTCTATAGTATGGACTATAGTCTCGTCTATAGTATGGACTATAGTCTCGTCTATAGTCTGGACTATAGTCTCGTCTATAGTCTGGACTATAGTCTCGTCTATAGTCTGGACTATAGTCTCGTCTATAGTCTGGACTATAGTCTTGTCTATAGTCTGGACTATAGTCTTGTCTATAGTCTGGACTATAGTCTCGTCTATAGTCTGGACTATAGTCTTGTCTATAGTCTGGACTATAGTCTTGTCTATAGTCTGGACTATAGTCTCGTCTATAGTATGGACTATAGTCTCGTCTATAGTATGGACTATAGTCTCGTCTATAGTCTGGACTATAGTCTCGTCTATAGTCTGGACTAAAGTCTCATCTATAGTCTGGACTATATTCTCGTTTATAGTCTGGATTATAGTCTCGTTTATAGTCTGGATTATAGTCTCGTCTATAGTCTGGATTATAGTCTTGTCTATAGTCTCGTCTATAGTATCTTCTATAGTCTGGACTATAGTCTCGTCTATAGTATGGACTATAGTCTCGTCCATAGTCTGGACTATAGTCTCGTCCATAGTCTGTACTATAGCCTCGGCTATAGGCTGGTCTATAGATTTGTCTATAGTCTCGTCTATAGTCTGGACTATAGTCTCGTCTATAGTCCGGACTATAGTCTCGTCTATAGTCCAGACTATAGTCTCGTCTATAGTCCGGACTATAGTCTCGTCTATAGTCCGGACTATAGTCTCGTCTATAGTCCGGACTATAGTCTCGTCTATAGTCTGGACTATAATCTCGTCTATAGTCTGGACTATAGTCTCGTCTATAGTCTGGAATATAGTCTCGTCTATAGTCTGGACTATAGTCTCGTTTAATGGTTTCGTATATTATTCCGGCTTTATTTACCACAAATACTCACCCTTACAAAGTTTCCTCCGCACACATTTTCAAATAAAACTGTTACAGTTCTAACTGAATTGGATAAATCATTTGATAAATCATATCAAGCAACATTTGTTGGTGATGGCTTAGAATGCATACGGATATTGAATGTGAAGTGATGAAAATAATAAAAACAAAATCACTAACTGAAATAGCCAGAGAGTAGATTTCCAAAAAAAAAAAAACGTATTCAATTTATTAGTTATTCCTAGCAGTTGCTCTATATACCGGAACAGAGGCTCTACTAAGTTTTAGTTATTTAGGTATTCACTTTTAAAGTTAGATAGAGCAAAAACGAAGCAGGATAAAAACCTAACAGTCAAAGGATTGTACGTGAATATTACATTTACATAGGTGAACTCTGGAAGCAGAGACGTAGCTAAAGTTTGCAAAAATTCAAATTCAAACGACTTTTGCGATTTTCTTATCCTAACCGCACCTGTGTTTTAGCCATAAAAGTATCCATAAATTACTAGCAACTGAAATATTTTACTTTCGTCAACTACTTGAAACTACCCTTTGCATTCTCATTCTTTCAGTGAGAGTTTTGATAGACATGATTTGTTGTTAAAACCTCAAAAAGCTTTATACATACAAAAACTTTTTACGAAATTTTTAAGCAAATATGAAGTACTGGGGGAGCGGAAGCAAAAAAAATAGTCATATACACTTCTACACTTTTATGGCAAGTACTTTATTCGTACCCTAAATATACTGGAATGGCTGGTTGTGTGCCACCAGAAAAATATGTGCAAACTGTTGTTTTGCATGATTTGAAGTTGTCAGTCATAACTGTAAAATTAATTTATGTTTTTTTTTTACCAACAATAACAATTGAGTTTTTTTTTTTGCAAAGGAGTCGCCAGACTATAGACTCTACTATAGTCCACAGTATAGACTATACTATAAACCAGACTATAGACTATACTTTAGTCCAGTGTATAGACTACACTATAGTCCAGACTATACTATAGTCCACAGTATAAACTAGAATATAGTCCAGAGTAAAGACTAGACTATATTCAAGAGTATAGACTATAGTCCAAATTATAGACTAAACTATATAGACTAGACTATAGTCCCGATTATAGACTTTACTATATAGACTATACCATACTATATAGACTAGATTATAGTCCTGAATATACTGTATAGACTATAGTCCAGAGTATAGACTAGACTATAGTCCAGACTATAAACTATACAATAGTCCAGACTATAGACTAGACTATAGTGCAAACTATGGAATAAACTATAGTCCAGACTATAGACTATACTATAGTCCAGCCTATTGTCCAGACTATAGACTAGACTATAGTCCACAGTATAAACTAGACTATAGTCCAGACTATAGACTATAGTCCAGATTAAAGACTAGACTATAGTCCAGACTATAGACGAGACTATAGTCCAGACTATAGACTAGACTATAGTCCAGATTATAGACTAGACTATAGTCCAGACTATAAACTATACTATAGTCCAGACTATAGACTAGACTATAGTGCAAACTATGGAATAAACTATAGTCCAGACTATAGACTATACTATAGTCCAGCCTATTGTCCAGACTATAGACTAGACTATAGTCCACAGTATAAACTAGACTATAGTCCAGATTAAAGACTAGACTATAGTCCAGACTATAGACGAGACTATAGTCCAGACTATAGACTAGACTATAGTCCAGACTATAGACTAGACTATAGTCCAGACTATAGACTAGACTATAGTCCAGACTATAGACTAGACTATAGTCCAGACTATAGTCCAGACTATAGACTAGACTATAGTCCAGACTATAGACTAAACTATATACTAGACTATACTATATAGACTAGACTATAGTCCAGACTATAGACTAGACTATAGTCCAGACTAAAGACTATACTATATAGATTAGACCATAGTCCAGACTATAGACTAGACTCTATTCCAGACTATAGACTAGACTATAGTCCAGATTATAGACTATACTATATAGACTAGACTATAGTCCAGCCTATGGATTAGAGTATAGTCCTGAATATAGACTAGACTGTTGTCCATACTATAGACTTAACTATAGCCCAGACTATAGACTATAGTCCAGATTAAAGACTATACTATATAGACTAGACTAGACTATATCCCAGACTATAGACTAGACTATAGTCCAGACTATAGACTAGACTATAGTCCAGACTATAGACTATACTATAGTCCACAGTATAAACTAGACTATAGTCCAGACTATAGACTATAGTCCAGATTAAAGACTAGACTATAGTCCAGACTATAGACGAGACTATAGTCCAGACTATAGACTAGACTATAGTCCAGATTATAGACTAGACTATAGTCCAGACTATAAACTATACTGTAGTCCAGACTATAGACTAGACTATAGTGCAAACTATGGAATAAACTATAGTCCAGACTATAGACTATACTATAGTCCAGCCTATTGTCCAGACTATAGACTAGACTATAGTCCACAGTATAAACTAGACTATAGTCCAGACTATAGTCCAGATTAAAGACTAGACTATAGTCCAGACTATAGACGAGACTATAGTCCAGACTATAGACTAGACTATAGTCCAGGCTATAGACTAGACTATAGTCCAGACTATAGACTAGACTATAGTCCAGACTATAGTCCAGACTATAGACTAGACTATAGTCCAGACTATAGACTAAACTATATACTAGACTATACTATATAGACTAGACTATAGTCCAGACTATAGACTAGACTATAGTCCAGACTAAAGACTATACTATATAGACTAGACCATAGTCCAGACTATAGACTAGACTCTATTCCAGACTATAGACTAGACTATAGTCCAGATTATAGACTATACTATATAGACTAGACTATAGTCCAGCCTATAGATTAGAGTATAGTCCTGAATATAGACTAGACTGTTGTCCATACTATAGACTTAACTATAGCCCAGACTATAGACTATAGTCCAGATTAAAGACTATACTATATAGACTAGACTATATCCCAGACTATAGACTAGACTATAGTCCAGACTATAGACTAGATTATAGTCCAGACTATAGACTAGACTATAGTCCAGACTATAGACTAGATTATAGTCTAGACTATAGTCTAGTCTATAGTCTAGACTATAGACTAGACTATACGCCAGACTGTAGACTAGACTTTAGTCCATACTATAAACGAGGCTATACTCCAGACTATAGACAAAACTATTGTCCAGACTGTAGGCGAGGCTATGGTTCAGACTATAGACAAGACTACTGTTCAGACGATACTATAGGCGTGACTATGGTCCAGGCTACAGATGAAACTAAAGTTAGAGGAGACTAAACTTGAATATATTTCAGACTTTGGAATAAACAATAGTGTAGATTACAAAACTATAATCCATAACATAGGGCTGACTAATCTGATCTATAACATGTGTACTATAGTCTGGTCTATAGTCAAAACTGTATATTTGATATGAATAACAATTAAAATTGTATGATTATAGATCTAATTAAATAATTTTTTTATTGTATTTTAGGTAAAAGTGTTTTAGCAGCCCCCTCACCACCTAAAGATGCGCCCGGTGAAATGGGTAAACCGGTGAACTTACCAACCAATATGACTTCCGAAATGAAAAAAGCCGTCGATGATGGTTGGCAAAAGAATGCATTTAATCAATATGCTTCCGATATGATTTCAGTGCACAGAACTCTACCAGATCCCAGAGATGCTTGGTGAGTAATAAAGAAACCTTAAAATAAACCATGATTTTGAAAAAAGCTAAATCATTAATCTTTATTGTTGTTGTTTTATCCCATAAACTCGATTAAAAATCATTAAACGTTTTGATTGATGAATATATTTTTATCTTTATTTTTCAAAAAAAAAAAAAAAATCATCAATTCATTGTACCACCTACCCATTATAAACCAAACATTCCTCAAGTCATTGTTCCCCATATTAAATCTGTAAACTAATTTCCTTACAACAACCTTGAGTCTACAGTTTTATTACCACACGTTTTTCTTTCTACTTGTTTATTAATGAAAATGTGCGAAAAAGGGAGTTTTAAGTCATTTATTTAAATGACGTTTTATAATAGTTTTCAACTTACCGACGACAAGAAAACGTAAAAAAATTGACATATGTCTAAGAAACACTTTAGTTTAAAACTTAACAACTATTAAATGTTTTCAAAAAAAAAAAACAACAACAACATACTTTAGCGTAAACTCTATAGCACCCGCCACATTTTAAAAAAATTCCTAGAAGTTAAATGAAAAATGACTAACTCTGCCAGTCATGTAATTTAACGCAAGTGCGTTACTTTGAATTGAAATTATGTATGTATGTGTTTTCTCTCACACAGGTGTAAAGAACCAGGACGTTATCTTAAGGATCTACCAGCCACTGATGTAATTATTTGTTTCCACAATGAGGCGTGGTCCGTGCTATTGCGTACCGTGCATTCCGTTTTTGATCGTTCACCCGAACATTTAATCGGCAATGTAATATTGGTAGATGACTTCTCCGATATGCGTAAGTATTAAATTGTTCAAATGTAATAACAACAACAGCAATAACATGACTTACAAAAATTTTAATATTTAACAATATTTAATCATAAAAACTAAAAAAGTGAAAGATAATGCACAGTGGGTTGAGGTTAAAGTAAAATATCTAGTCAATAGTCTAGTCTGTAGTCTAGTCTATAGTCTAGTATATAGTCGAGTCTATAGTCTAGTCTAAAGTCTAGTCTATAAACTAAACTAAAGTCTAGCTTACAGTCTACTCTAAAGTGCAGTCTGTAGAATAATGTAAAGTCTAGTCTGTAGTAGATTCTATAGTCTAGTCTATAGTCTAGTATATAGTCTAGCCTATAGTCCAGTCTATAGTCGCGTCTATAGTCGAGTCTATAGTCTAGTCTATAGTCTAATTTATAGTATTGTCTATAGTCTAGTCTAAAGTCTAGTCTATAAACTAAACTAAAGTCTAGTTTATAATCTAGTCTAAAGTCCAGTCTGTAGAATAATGTAAAGACTAGTTTGTAGTGGAGTCTATAGTCTAGTCTATAGTCTAGCATATAGTCCAGTCTTTAGTCGAGACTATAGTCGAGTCTATAGTCGAGTCTATAGTCGAGTCTATAGTCGAGTCTATAGTCTAGTCCATAGTCTAGTTTATAGTCTATAGTCTAGTCTATATTCTAGTCTATATTTTAGTCTGTAGTCTAGCTTATAGTCTATTATAAAGTCTAGTCTATAGTCTAGTCTGTAGTCTAGTCTATACTCTAGCCTATAGTCTAGTTTATAGTCTAGTTTTTAGTCTAGTTTATAGTCTAGTTTATAGTCTAGTTTATAGTCTAGTCTATAGTTTAGTCTATAGTCTAGTCTATAGTATAGTCTAGTATATAGTCTAGTCTATAGTCTAGTCTACAGTCTAGTCTACAGTCTAGTCTATAGTCTAGTTTACAGTCTAGTCTAGTCTAATCTACAGTCTAGTCTACAATCTAGTTTATAGTCTAGTCTAAAGTCCAGTTTATAGTCCAGTCTATAGTCTAGTCTATACTCTAGACTATAGTGTAGTCTAGGATATAATCTAGCCTAAAGTCTTGTCTGTAGTCTAGTCTATAGTCTAGCCTATAGTCTAGCCTATAGTCTAGCCTATGGTCTAGTCTATAGTCTATAATGTAGTCTAGTCGATAATATAGTCTAGTCTATAGTTAATTAGTTAGTTAGTTAGTTAGCTAGTTAGTTAGTTAGTTAGTTAGTAAGTTATGTTTAGTTAGTTAGTTGTTAGTTAGTTGTTTAGTTAGTTAGTTAGTAGTAGTAAGTAAGTTATTCGTTCGTTCGTTCGTTGGTAGTTCAGTTAGTTAGTTAGTTAGTTCGTTAGTTCGTTAGTTAGTTAGTTATTAGTTTAGTTAGTTCGTTTTCGTTCGTTCGTTATTTCGTTCGTTCGTTCGTTAGTTCTTTCTTCGTTCAGTTTCTTCTTTCGTTCGTTCGTTTCGTTCGTTTTCGTTCGTTCGTTCGTCGTTCGTTTCGTGTCGTCGTTTTCGGTAGTTCGTTTCGTTCGTTCGTTCGTCCGTCCGTTCCTTGTTCGTTTCGTTTCGTTCCGTTCGTTCGTTCGTCCGTCCGTCCGTTCGTATCGTTCTTCGTATCTTCGTAATCGTTTCGTTCGTTGTTCTCTTCCGTTGTTCGTTGCGTTTCTTCGTTCGTTGTTTCGTTAGTTCGTTCTTCGTTTGTTCGTTCGTTAGTTCGTGTAGTTTCGTTCGTTCGTTCGTTCGTTCGTTCGTTCCGTTCGTTCGTTTCGTTCGTTCGTTCGTTCGTTCGTTCGTTCGTTCGTTCGTTCGTTCGTTCGTTCGTTCGTCGTTCGTTCGTTTCGTTCGTTCGTTCGTTCGTTCGTTCGTTTCGTTCGTTCGTTCGTTTCGTTCGTCGTTTCGTTCGTTCGTTCTTTCGTTCGTTCGTTCGTTCGTTCGTTCGTTAGTTCGTTAGTTCGTTCGTTCGTTCGTTCGTTCGTTCGTTCGTTCGTTCGTTCTTTCTTCGTTCGTTCGTTCGTTCTGTTCGTTCGTTCGTTCGTTCGTTTCGTTCGTTCGTTCGTTCGTTCGTTCGTTCGTTCGTTGTTTCGTTCGTTCGTTCGTTCGTTCGTTCGTTCGTTCGTTCGTTCGTTCGTTCGTTCGTTCGTTCGTTCGTTCGTTCGTTCGTTCGTTCGTTCGTTCGTTCGTTGATTCGTTCGTTCGTTCGTTCGTTCGTTCGTTCGTTCGTTCGTTCGTTCGTTCGTTCGTTCGTTCTTCGTTCGTTCGTTCGTTGTCGTTTTTCGTTAGTTCGTTTCGTGTCGTTTCGTTCGTTCGTTCGTTCGTTCGTTCGTTCGTTCGTTCGTTTTTCGTTCGTTCGTTCGTTTCGTTCGTTTTCGTTCGTTTCGTTCTTCGTTCGTTCGTTCGTTTTCGTTCGTTCGTTCGTTCGTTCGTTCTTCGTTCGTTCGTCGTTCGTTCGTTTTCGTTCGTTCGTTCGTTCGTTCGTTCGTTCGTTCGTTCGTTCGTTCGCGTTCGTTCGTTCGTTCGTTCGTTCTTTCGTTCGTCGTTCGTTCGTTCGTTCGTTCGTTCGTTCGTTCGTTTCGTTCGTTCGTTCGTTCGTTCGTTCGTTCGTTCGTTCGTTCGTTCGTTCTTCGTTCGTTCGTTTCGTTCGTTCGTTCGTTCGTTCGTTCGTTCGTTCGTTCGTTAGTTCTTCGTTCGTTCGTTCGTTCGTTCGTTCGTTCGTTCGTTCGTTCGTTCGTTTCGTTCGTTCGTTCGTTCTTTCGTTCGTTCGTTCGTTCGTTCGTTCTTTCGTTTTCGTTCGTTCGTTCGTTCGTTTGTTCGTTTCGTTCGTTCGTTCGTTCGTTCGTTCGTTCGTTCGTTCGTTCTTCGTTCGTTCGTTCGTTCGTTCGTTCGTTCGTTCCGTTCGTTTTTTTCGTTTTTTTTCGTTCGTTTTTTTTCGTTCGTTCGTTCTTTCGTTCGTTCGTTCGTTCGTTCGTTCGTTCGTTCGTTCGTTCGTTCGTTCGTTCTTTCGTTCGTTCGTTCGTTCGTTCGTTCGTTCGTTCGTTCGTTCGTTTTCGTTGTTGTTCGTTCGTTCGTTTCGTTCGTTCGTTCGTTCGTTCGTTTCGTTATTCGTTCGTTCGTTTTCGTTCGCGTTCGTTCGTTCGTTCGTTCGTTCGTTCGTTCGTTCGTTCGTTTCGTTCGTTTCGTTCGTTCGTTCGTTCGTTCGTTCGTTCTTTTCGTTCGTTCGTTCGTTCGTTTCGTTCGTTCGTTCGTTCGTTCGTTCGTTCGTTCGTTCGTTCTTCGTTCGTTCGTCGTTTCGTTCGTTCGTTCGTTCGTTCGTTCGTTCTTTCGTTCGTTCGTTCGTTCGTTCGTTGTTTCGTTCGTTCGTTCGTTCGTTCGTTTCGTTCTTCGTTCGTTCGTTCGTTCGTTCGTTCGTTCGTTCGTTCGTTCGTTTCTTCGTTCGTTCGTTCGTTCGTTCGTTCGTTCGTTCTTTCGTTCGTTCGTTCGTTCGTTCGTTCTCGTTCGTTCGTTCGTTCGTTCGTTCGTTCGTTCTTCGTTCGTTCGTTCGTTCTTCGTTCGTTCGTTCGTTCGTTCGTTCGTTTTCGTTCGTTCGTTCGTTCGTTCGTTCGTTCGTTTCGTTCGTTCGTTCGTTTCGTTCGTTCGTTCGTTCGTTCGTTCGTTCGTTCGTTCGTTTGTTCCTTCGTTTCGTTCGTTCGTCTTTTCTTTCCTTTTCCCCCCTGTGCCTTTTAAGAAATAACAAACACCAAAAAACACCGCCTGGTGTAGATGCTGATGAGATCTGATATCTCATGTAATGTAGGAGGCTGATGTAAGTTGTAGTTTAAAGCATCGCTCACCAACATCTTTCACGTTTGTACTCATCCACACATTTCTTATGCAGGACATCAAGAGCACCAAGACAGTCCAAGACAAGTAACCATAAAAACGTGATTGATTGTTGCACGTGTCTGGCATTTTAAACATTTTGCGAATTGAATACGAAAAGAAAACAACAAATTTTTCTTTACATTATTGTTTACACGCTATATACATAGTTGTTGTAAGTACAAGCTATTGTTGTTGTTATTATTTTATTAAATTTTCATTCAGTTGGTCATTCATTTATTATTATTCAACTCCTTTAACCAGGTTTTCAGATTATTTTACACATTTTCTCATTTTTTTTTTTTTTCACTGTTTCTGTGTTGTTTTATTTCAGCTCATACGAAAAAACAATTGGAAGACTATTTTGCTGCCAATCCAAAGGTTAAAATTTTACGTGCACCAAAGCGTGAAGGTTTAATACGCGCCAGACTACTCGGTGCACGTCATGCCACATCGCCAGTATTAACATATTTAGATTCTCACTGCGAATGCACTGAAGGTGAGTATGGGAGATCACTGTTCATTATGCACATTTTGTGTTTTTTTTTTTTTTTGTTTTTGCATTTTTCTATTTAACATTTTTCTCCCCTTCTATGCTGTAGTTGAGTTTAATGTGATGTGAATGATTTTCTTTAAAGATTGACTGACGTTCGCTCATGCAATTGTTTTAGTTTAGTACAATGAGTTGGACTACTAAGTATTATTTTTTTGGGGTAAAATGTTGTTAGCTTTTGCTGCAGTTCTGAGTTTGTTTTCATATTTATGGAACTAAATCGGGTTAACAGTTTTAATTGTCATTGATTAAGTTTGCAAAATATTTTTTTTTACTTTAGTTTAAAGGGGACCTTGATTTGAGTTGGATGGTTATGGTAATCGATTAATAGATTTGCATCAGAACAGCAGCATTACTAATAGGTAGCGTTGGTTGCGAACATTTTCAGTTACGCTTCAATTGTTAACGCTATTAATGAGATATAAATCTGTATTAGGTTTTCAATGTTGTAATAACAACAAAAAATGGCTATTTATAAAAGAGAACATTTTATTCATATAAACCATAAAACACTTTAGACAAGTCAATAGTCTGAATTATTTACCAGTATTTCGTCTATAATCTGAACTATAGGCCTGCCTATAGTGTGAACTCTATAGTCTGAACAAAAGACTAGTATAAATTATAGAATAGTCAATATTCTGAACTATGGACCAACCAATAGCCGAAATATAGACCAGCCGATAGCCTAAACTGTGGAGCAGTCTATAGTGTGACCTATTGACCAGTCTATAGTCTGAACTATAGACCAGTCTATAGTCTGAACTATAGACCAGTCTATAGTCTGAACTATAGACCAGTCTATAGTCTGAATTATAGACCAGTCTATAGTCTGAACTATAGACCATTCTATAGTCCGAACTACAGACCAGTCTATAGTATGAACTGTAGAACATTTTATAGTCTGAACTTTAGATCAGTCTATGGTTTGAACTATAGACTAGTCTATGGTTTGAACTATAGACTAGTCTACAGTTTGAACTATAGACCAGTTTATAGTCTGAACTATAGACCATTCTATAGTCTGAACTATAGAACATTCTATAGTCTGAACTATAGACCAGTCTATAGTCTGCCCTATAGTCCAGTCTTTAGTCTGAACTATAGACCAGTCTATAGTCTGAACTATAGAACATTCTATAGTCTGAACTATAGACCATTCTATAGTCTGAACTATAGACCAGTCTATAGTCTGAACTATAGACCATTCTATAGTCTGAACTATAGACCAGTCTATAGTCTGAAATATAGACCAGTCTATAGTCTGAACTATAGACCAGTCTATAGTCTGAACTATACAGCAGTCTATAGTCTGTACTATAGACCATTCTGTAGTCCGAACTCTTGAACAGTCCATAGTCTGAACTATAAACCATTCTATAGACTGAACTCTTGAACAGTCTATGGTCTGAGCTATAGACCAGTCTATAGTCTGAACTATAGAGCTGTCTATAGTATGAACTATAGACCATTCTATAGTCTGAACTATAGACCAGTCTATAGTCTGAACTATAGACCAGTCTATAGTCTGAACTATAGACCATTCTATAGTCTGAACTACAGACCAGTCTATAGTATGAACTATAGAACATTTTATAGTCTGAACTATAGACTAGTCTACAGTTTGAACTATAGACCAGTTTATAGTCTGAACTATAGACCATTCTATAGTCTGAACTATAGAACATTCTATAGTCTGAACTATAGACCAGTCTATAGTCTGCCCTATAGTCCAGTCTATAGTCTGCCCTATAGTCCAGTCTTTAGTCTGAACTATAGAACATTCTATAGTCTGAACTATAAACCATTCTATAGACTGAACTCTTGAACAGTCTATGGTCTGAGCTATAGACCAGTCAGTCTATAGTCTGAACTATAGAGCTGTCTATAGTATGAACTATAGACCATTCTATAGTCTGAACTTTAGGCCAGTCTATGGTCTAAACTAGAGACAAGTCTATGTTCTAAACTATAGACCAGTCTATAGTCTGAAGTATAGACTAGTCTAAAATCTGGACTTTAGACCAGTCTATAGTCTGAACTTTAGACCACTCTATGGTCTGAACTATAGACAAGTCTATGTTCTGAACTATAGACCAGTCTATAATCTGAACCATAGACCAGTCTATAGTCTGAACTATAGACCAGTCTATAGTCTGAACTATAGAGCAGTCTATAGTATGAACTATAGACCATTCTATAATCTGAACTTTAGACCAGTCTATGGTCTGAACTATAGACAAGTCTATGTTCTAAACTATAGACCAGTCTATAGTCTGAAGTATAGACCAGTCTATAATCTGGACCTTAGACCAGTCTATAGTCTGAACTTTAGACACTCTATGGTCTGAACTAAGGACTAGTCTATAGTCTGAACTATAGACCATTCTGTAGTCTGAACTATAGACCAGTCTATAGTCTGTACTATAGACAAGTCTATAGTCTGAACTATAGACCAGTCTTTGTCTCTTTGTCTTCTCTTCTTCAATCACAGTTATATAAAACTAAATATTTATTTAATTAAAGCACTTGTGTTTTCTTTCTATTATTATGTTCAATTTGACAATGTAATTTAAATCCTTTGTAATTGAATTTTGTCTTTTTATGCAATATTTATACAAATTTGATTTCTCCGAATTTCTAATGTCTTGCAAGTAAAATTTAGTTACTAAATACTCCAAGGTATTATAGTATGTTTTATTTAATTTTATCAAATTTTATGTAATTTGCAAACTTAAATATTTTCTCTTAAAAACAAATTAAATTAAATTTACAATTTTCATGTCTTATTTAGTTTTATGATTGATGATTTACAGGGGGTGGAGGGTCTCTGAGGCGTGTTTCCAGTTTGTTCACAGATTTAGTTTACTGAAAAATACTACACATTCTTGTTCATTTCTTTTAATCCTAAATAATTTATCTCAATTTACGGTTGAATGGTCTTTAGTATAGTATTTTTTGTAGTTGTGTTGATTTTTTGTCAGTGTAAATGAAATTCCTTTTCAAAATTCCTTTCAATGTCTGTCGTTATAACAGTTTCTTTTAACTTGTAATTTAATTGTTATAATACGTTTTCTATATTATGAAAATTGTCATACTCTGACACTTGTATGAGTGAGGTGTGAGTGCGAAACCAATTTGTTGAGAATGAAGGACCAGTAATTTCTAGAGAGAAATTTTCTATTGTTGGAAAATGATGATGTGGGGGGATTATGTCTTTTTGATGTTCGGATTTTATTTATTGTTTAGATACTAGAACTGTCTATAGTCTGAACTATAGACCAGTCTATAGTCTGAACTATAGACCAGTCTATAGTCTGAACTATATACCAGTCTATAGTCTGAACTATAGACCAGTCTATAGTCTGAACTATAGACTAGTCAATCGTCTGAACTATAGACCAGTCTATAGTCTGAACTATAGATTAGTATATGGTCTGAACTCTATAGAGCAATCTATAGTCTGAACTGTAGACCAATCTATAGTCTGAACTGTAGACCAATCTATAGTCTGAACTATAGACTAATCTATAGTCGGAACTTTGGACCACTCTATAGTCTGAACTATAGACTACGTCTATGGTCTGAACTATAAACCAGTCTATAGTTTGAACTATAGACCAATCTATAGTCTGAACTATAGACCAATCTATAGCCTGAACTATATACTAGTCTATTGTCTGAACTATAGTTTGAACTATAGACCAGTCTATAGTCTGAACTATAGATTAGTATATGGTCTGAACTCTATAGACCAATCTATAGTCTGAACTGTAGACCAATCTATAGTCTGAACTGTAGAGCAATCTATAGTCTGAACTATAGACTAATCTATAGTCGGAACTATGGACCAGTCTATAGTCTGAACTATAGACTACGTCTATGGTCTGAAATATAAACCAGTCTATAGTTTGAACTATAGACCAATCTATAGTCTGAACTAAAGACCAATCTATAGCCTGAACTATATACTAGTCTATAGTCTGAACTATAGTTTGAACTATAGACCAGTCTATAGTCTGAACTATAGATTAGTATATGGTCTGAACTCTATAGACCAATCTATAGTCTGAACTGTAGACTAATCTATAGTCTGAATTGTAGACCAATCTATAGTCGGAACTATGGACCAGTCTATAGTCTGAACTATAGACTTCGTCTATGGTCTGAACTATAAACTACGTCTATGGTCTGAACTATAGACTACGTCTATGGTCTGAACTGGAGACTACGTCTATGGTCTGAACTATAGACCAATCTACAGCCTGAACTATAGACTAGTCTATAGCCTGGACTATAGACTAGTCTATAGTCTGAACTATAGACCAGTCTATAGTCTGAACTATAGAGCAGTCTATAGTCTGAACTATTGACTAGTCTATGGTCTGAACTCCAGAGACCAATCTATAGTCTGAACTGTGGGCCAATCTATAGTCTGAATTATAAACTAATCTGTAGTTTAAACTATGGACCAGTCTATAGTCGGAACTATAGACAAGTCTATAGTCGGAACTATAGACCAGTCTATAGTCTGAACTATAGACTAGTCTATTGTCTGAGCTAGAGACCAGTCTATAGTCTGAACTTTAGGCCAATCAATGTATCAGTCTATAGTCTGAACTATAAATCAGTCTATAGTCCGAACTATAGACCAATCTATAGTCTTAACTATAGACTTATATATAGTTGAACTATAGACCAATCTATAGTCTGAACTATAGACAGACCAGTCTATAGTCTGAACTATAGACTAGTCTATAGTCTGAACTATAGACCAGTCTATAATCTGAACTATAGGCCAGACTATAGTCTGAACTATAGACCAGTCTGCAATCTGATCTATAGACCATTCTACAGTCTGAACTATAGACCAGTCTATAATCTCAACTGTAGACCAGTCTATAGTTTCAACTATAGACCAGTCTTTAGTTTGAACTATAGACTAGTCTATATTCTGAACTATAGACTAGTCTCTGGTCTGAACTATAGACCGGACTATAGTCTGAACTGTTGACCAATTTATAGTTTGAAGTATTCTCCAGTCTATTGTGGGAACTCTAAACCAGTACCTATAAAGTCTGAACAACAGACCACTCTAGAGTCTGAACTATAGCTCAGGCTATAGTCTGATTCATATATCTGACTATAGTCTGAACTAGAGAACAGTCAACTAGAGATCTCTTTTATAATGACGTCAATTCTGAGAAACATTATTAACTTATAAACAAGATTGTTTACCTTTCTCTTATGCAAAAGTGAAACTAATCTAATTTCCTAAATATTTTTTCATTTTATTTTACATAAATCATTGAAAATCATTTCACATTATTTATGGTAAACACTTTCTCAATATGTATTTATATTTTAAATTTTGTCACACCTTTTAGGCTGGCTAGAACCATTATTGGATCGTATCGCTAGAAATTCTACCACAGTTGTCTGTCCCGTTATAGATGTTATCGATGATACAACACTCGAATATCATTATCGTGATTCGGGTGGTGTTAATGTTGGTGGTTTCGATTGGAATTTACAATTCAATTGGCATGCAGTGCCCGATAGAGAAAAGAAACGTCATAAGGTAAGTTAACGATTAATTTTTCTTCTTTTTTTTATATAAATGATATATTGCCAGTTAAACTTTAATCTATAAGTTTGACTTTTGTGGGTGTTTTTTTCAATTGCCTTTTGAAATCCTTTTTCTTAACCTTTTCCTCCTCATTATGTTGATAACTACTTCTTATTCTGCAAATGTTTTTGAAGATTTAACAAAATGTTTTCTTTGTATTAAGACCATTTACTACTATCTGTCTTAAATTGTTTATTTTTTTTATTTATTTATTTAGCTGGGGTTATTATGTTTACTTTTATATATGAATAAATTTACAAAACATTTTATTGTATTTAGTTTCTTAAGATAAACGGCAAAAATACAATATATATTTTTTATTTAACCAAATACGTGACTAGATTATTGAAGTCCCGAACTCATAGTCATGTAATAACTAGCAAACCTAAACACAATTTCCACTAAATTTGCCATTTATTTGAAACAAAATGTGTGTAAAACTACAAAACAATTGTACATGTCTAACCTTGAACCTTTGGTGGAGAAAGGGATGACTAGAAAGGTAGCAAGTGCCGGAAGATGTTTTAAACAGAGTTTGCAAATTTTGTAAGATTTCTGGTAATTATAATTAGATTGATATAGTTTTTGATCAATAATGGTCCTTCGAGCTTAACAAATTGAAGTATTGAAAGAACTGAACTAGAACAGAAATAGAACTAGAGCTAGAGCTAGAACTGAACTAGAACTGAACTAGAACTGAACTAGAACTGAACTAGAACTGAACTAGAACTGAACTAGAACTGAAGTAGAACTGAACTAGAATTGAACTAGAACTGAACTAGAACTGAACTAGAACTGAACTAGACCAGAACTAGAACAGAACTAGAACAGAACTAGAACAGAACTAGAACAGAACTAGAACAGAACTAGAACAGAACTAGAACAGAACTAGAACAGAACTAGAACAGAACTAGAACAGAACTAGAACAGAACTAGAACAGAACTAGAACAGAACTAGAACAGAACTAGAACAGAACTAGAACTAGAACAGAACTAAACAGAACTAGAACAGAACTAGAACAGAACTAGAACAGAACTAGAACAGAACAGAACTAGAACAGAACTAGAACAGAACTAGAACAGAACTAGAACAGAACTAGAACAGAACTAGAACAGAACTACAGAACTAGACAGAACTAGAACAGAACTAGAACAGAACTAGAACAGAACTAGAACAGAACTAGAACAGAACTAGAACAGAACTAGAACAGAACTAGAACAGAACTAGAACAGAACTAGAACAGAAAAAAGAACTAGAACAGAACTAGAACAGAACTAGAACAGAACTAGAACAGAACTAGAACAGAACTAGAACAGAACTAGAACAGAACTAGAACAGAACTAGAACAGAACTAGAACTAGAACAGAACTAGAACAGAACTAGAACAGAACTAGAACAGAACTAGAACAGAACTAGAACAGAACTAGAACAGACTAGACAAACTAGAACAGAACTAGAACAGAACAAGAACAGAACTAGAACAGAACTAGAAGAACTAGAACTAGAACAGAACTAGAACAGAACTAGAACAACTAGAACAGAACTAGAACAGAACTAGAACAGAACTAGAACAGAACTAGAACAGAACTAGAACAGAACTAGAACAGAACTAGAACAGAACTAGAACAGAACTAGACAGAACTAGAACAGAACTAGAACAGAACTAGAACAACTAGAACAGAACTAGAACGAACTAGAACAGAACTAGAACTGAACTAGAACTGAACTAGAACTGAACTAGAACTGAACTAGAACTGAACTAGAACTGAACTAGAACTGAACTAGAACTGAACTAGAACTGAACTAGAACTGAACTAGAACTGAACTAGAACTGAACTAGAACTGAACTAGAACTGAACTAGAACTGAACTAGAACTGAACTAGAACTGAACTAGAACTGAACTAGAACTGAACTAGAACTGAACTAGAACTGAACTAGAACTGAACTAGAACTGAACTAGAACTGAACTAGAACTGAACTAGAACTGAACTAGAACTGAACTAGAACTGAAACTAGAACTGAACTAGAAACTGAACTAGAACTGAACTAGAACTGAACTAGAACTGAACTAGAACTGAACTAGAACTGAACTAGAACTGAACTAGAACTGAAAAAGAACTGAACTAAAACTCAACTAGACCAGTCTATAGTCTATAGACAAGTCTATAGCTTATAGACCAGTGTATGGTCTATAGACGAGACTATAGACTATAGTCTAAATTATAGACCTGTCTATAGTCCAAATTATAGTATATAGTCTAAACCATAAACTAAAGATTAGTCTATAGTTCCAACAATGAACCAGTATATATGCTAAACTATAGACCAGTTTATAGTCTACACACAGTCTATAATATAACACAGTCTATAATATAAACTATACACCGGTCTGTAGTCTAAAGTGTAGACCGGTCTATAGTCTAAACTATATATCAGTCTATGGTCTAAACAGTGGACCATTCCATAGTCTAATTTGTGGACCAGTCTGTAGACTAATCTATATACTAAACCTATAGAAGTTTGTATAGACTAGTCCCATAGTAGAAATATTGACAAGTCTACAGTCTAAACTGTGGACCAATCTATGGCCCTATAGCTTTGACCAATTTATGGTTTTACCTATAGAATAGTTTAGACAATAAACTAAAGTTCATATGACAGAGTAGTCTATAGACTAACCATTTAACCAGTATATAGTCTTTATAGCATGCCTTTGGTATTTTTCTCTTCTTCTGTGCTTATACTAGGACATCCCTGCAAATCCATAAAACTGAAAAAAATGATTTTCATATGTGTACGTGTGAGCTTAAACCTTTTGATTTTATTACAAATCTTTCACATTCTGTTGCCGTTTGCCCATTTTTTTCGTGCTGCTTTCCTAAGATTATGCGATTTTTCGTTAGTTTTCGTTTTTTATTTTATTTCGGTCATTTATACTTTACTTATTTGCCAGCCCTTTTTGCATATATTCTTATAATAGGATTAAAGTTTGATGATATTAAGGACTTTTAGGTTTAATGGCAACAAATCCCTACAAAAAATAAACCAAGAAATTGTTATACTTAACATGTGCTTGCTAATGGCATAAAAACGTTTAGAAAATTAAGACAAATGTTAAAACAAATAAGGAAAATATTTCAAGCTTAAATAAGTAAGACAAGTGAAAAATGAATAAAAAAAAGGAAACGGAAATGAAAAAATAATTTATATGAAAAATACGAGTAAAAATGGACAACATACTTTTTTACTCCACAACTCTTTGACTGATAATCAAACTCCTACACAATGTGCAGTCAAGTGGAAAAATTTTCTTTAATGCTTAAAACATAGGGATTTTTTGTTCCTTTTTTTCTGTTAAAAATAACTGTAAGTTTATAGATTGTATAAAGAAAGGAAAGAAGTGGAAAAGTTCAAAGAAAATCAATAAATTCTAAACTAAATTATAGTTGTGTTCGTTCTATATAAAGTTTTTTTTTACTCTAAACTTGTTAAACTGAATTATTGGAAAATTGTTCATTTAAACAAAGTTGTTCTCCAAACGTCTACAACATCCCTGAAACAAACTAACTTTCAACTTGCCTTTCTAGTGTGTTTTATAAATAAATATTTTTCTTTTATAATTGTTTTAGTTTTTATTCCAAGCAAATCAAATAACTTTTTTATACGTATTTCAAAAATAACTTTGTTATTTTAAGGTTTATTTATTAATCTAGATTTAGTTGTTCTTTATATAAACTTCAGTTCATTTCATAAACTGAAGATATTTGTAACGAACTAAACTGTTTGTTTAAAGGTTAAATTTGTTGCTGTTGGTTAAAATTGTAAAGCATACCTTAAGGAGGAAAATAAAAAATACTTGTGCATTCATTTACATTTGATGTTTTTGTGCAGATCTGGGAATTGTAAATTATTATTAAATATTTAATGTGAATTTACAGTCAATGATGTTAAATGTACATTAGGGTAAAATATAATGTTGTTTTGTTGTTTTAATTGAATATAAAATGTTTTATTAATATCTACTCTGATTGAAACAATTTAAATGTAGAAAAATGTTGTGTTTAATTGAAATTTAAATGGGAATTTTAAAATTATTCAATTGGAAATTCATGGAATGAATAAACAACAAAATGTCCATTACAGTATAACATGGTTACAATGAACTATGATTGAATTAGAACAGAACTAGAACAGAACTAGAACAGAACTAGAACGGAACTAGAACAGAACTAGAACAGAAATATAAACGAAGACACAGAACTCGAACAGAACTAGAACAGAACTAGAACAGAACTCGAACAGAACTAGAACAGAACTAGAACAGAACTTGAACAGAACTAGAACAGAACTAGAACAGAACTAGAACAGAACTAGAACAGAACTAGAACAGAACTAGAACAGAACTAAAACAGAACTAGAACAGAACTAGAACAGAACTAGAACAGAACTAGAACAGAACTAGAACAGAACTAGAACAGAACTAGAACAGAACTAGAACAAACTAGAACAGAACTAGAACAGAACTAGAACAGAACTAGAACAGAACTAGAACAGAACTAGAACAGAACTAGAACAGAACTAGAACAGAACTAGAACAGAACTTGAACAGAACTTAACAGAACTAGAACAGAACTAGAACAGAACAGAACTAGAACAGAACTAGAACAGAACTAGAACAGAACTAGAACAGAACTAGAACAGAACTAGAACAGAACTAGAACAGAACTAGAACAGAACTAGAACAGAACTAGAACAGAACTAGAACAGAACGAACTAGAACAGAACTAGAACAGAACTAGAACAGAACTAGAACAGAACTAGAACAGAACTAGAAAGAACTAGAACAGAACTAGAACACTAGAACAGAACTAGAACAGAACTAAAACAGAACTAAAACAGAACTAAAACAGAACTAAAACAGAACTAAAACAGAACTAGAACAGAACTAGA